CAAGTTGTTGTTGAGACTCTTACCGCGACGGCGAATCCACCAATCATTCCTTCTGGCCCTGTTGTAAATTGAAGGATACTCTTTGCCTTCATAGACATCTTGGACTTGGATGCCTTATCGTCTGTCGAGGCAAGGGCTCTGGCATCTTGCAAGAGCGACTCGGCGAGAGCGACCAAGTTGTCACAGGGATTGAGCGATCCCATTTTGGCTCTTGAGTTTTGTGCGCGGTTGTTGTGTGATTGCAAATCAGAGTTGGAGGTAATAGGGATAATCAGAGTCTAGAAAATGAACGACAGGTGAAAGATAAACAGCCCTTTATGTCCGACCCTCGTCTTCAGTCTGGAACGTCAGCCAACGTAGAACGGCGCCAGCCTCATTTAGTGAACCAATCCTTCGGACGCCATGGTACGTACGCCTCATTCTAGGCATGCAGTCAGACGGCACATGTATTTTCCTCTACGTGCGAAAATGTTTGTCCATTCGATCCGATTGACGACTTCGGAAAGCAGGCTCCAAAAGAGAAATCGGTGGATGATGATAACAATCCGGACTTCCCCAACTCTGACATGGGAAGATGATACAGAAAAGATTCGTCAACCATTCAACTGCGCCTCGTTCTGTATGATAAGCGTCGCTTGAGTGACTCTTGCTGTTCAAGTGCTGGACTTGGCGCTCGCCCGAGCCTCACTCGGCACGTCTTGGCCGGTTATCTTGGCCTGCACGTCAGGTCGTCTTTCTCTGCCTCTTACAACTTGAAACTCCATGGATTCCGACTCGTAAAACGATTGCGACAACTGACCCACTAGCAGCGTACCCAATGATGGTAATCCTCCACATTCCATCGGGCTCGCGCTAAATGGATCATGAGCTTGTTGTCGTCCTCAACGTCCGTTGAGCCCTGAATCAGTAAAGGGTAAATTCAGCTAGACTCTTGCTATCCGTGCGAATACTTCTAGCTCAGTGGCCGGGTAGTGATAGTTGGCTATTAGAAATAATTTCGAAGATGACAAAGGAACAACGACAATGCCGGAGAGAACGTTGATTGAAATTGCGACGATGGAAAAAATAAGAATAATGATTATGTAGCTTGTAAATAAGACCGACAAGTAACAGTCTGCCCGCTGAGCAGGGAATATCCGCCCGGAAAGCAAAATACTTCAGCAGGGAATCTTACACCACCTATGAGATCTAAGGTTGATACGCCGATACAACTTGCGCAACATCACTCGCCACTCGTGCCATAGTACTATCATATATACGGATAATATTGAATATATACTAAGATTGAAGGTTTAGGAGAAAAGTTAGGAAAAGGGGGTATCAAGTAAATCCGTCTACATCCACGTCTTCGTGTTCACGACGCTTCGAAGGTCCATCTCGTATTCTGCATCCGCCTCTCTTCTGACACTTCTCATGCTTCCTGGAGTCATCGGAGTCATTGGTGTTCTCGGCGTTCTCGGCGATCTCAACAGGCTCGGGCTCATTAGGCTTGGAGTCCTGTGTCCGCCACTAACGCTTCCGCTTCCTCGCCAAGGGGGTTGGTAGGTAAGTGGCTGCAGCGGCGGTGGTGGAAGAGGCTTCATCCGCGGGTCGTGATCGTTTGAAATATGAATTATAATCATGTCTTCTTCAACATCCGGCTCCGTTGAGCTTGATTTTGGCGACATAGGGATAACACCCTTGTCGCGCAACGACATGTGACTGCTGCCTCTGTCGTGTGTTTCTTTGATTTCCACGGTCGGTCCGCGGATTGTTGTCAGAAGACCAGGGATCTTCTTGAAGAGGGGTCGTAGTGCGGGAAGGCTTCCACACATCAGTGCGACCGATATCTCGGTGATGCTCCATGTCACAAAGTCCACGTTATCCCCTGTACAACGATGTCAGAATTTTAAGCAGCTTCAAGGATCAAATGCTTATGCAACGTACATGTGGTGTCGTATGAATCAGCAAACAGGACCAGCCATCTAAGACGAACGATCGAAGTGATGCACGCGCTAATGTCTGTTAGCATGAGGCCCGTGAGATTGCAAAAGGCCGATGAAGAGCAACAACTCACAATGATCCCAAGCTGAACATGAAGATGACCGCCAGCTTCTTTTTCGACCCGAGCTGCAACTGGCTGAGCTGCTGAATGGGCATGGCGAGAATAACAATATCTTCGACAATACTGAGGATAGCGCTGGCCAGTGCCACGGCGTTGAGGTCCACGCATTTACGAATGAGAGTCCGGTCCCAGATGCCGGCAATCGGTGTGCATTCGAACATGATGACGAAGGTAAAGACCAGTCCATGGCCAACGAGAAAGACAAAGACAAGTCTGTTCACAAGCTGAAACTTGCGGCTTGGGAAAACTCGCGCAAACAGCGCGACAATTGACACTTTGGCCAATATGAGAACGATAATGTAGAGCATCTGAACAGCATAGTAAAGCTGCCATGACAGTTAGTGCACGATCGAACCATGGATAGTCGCGACTGGAGACTTACTTGGATGATGCGCTGGGCGTTGGCGGGGTTGACATTCCAGTAGTGAAGGCCGAATCCAAGCTTGGCGCCTTGAAGATGTTAGTACTTTGCCTGAGAGCAGATCCACGATGAACTTACTTGCAATGACACATCCCATGGTGGCGGCTAATACAATCTTCCTCGCGGGTCAGTATCTCTTCAAGGGCAAGGTGGAAGCAATTGGCACCTACAGCTGTCACCAACGTAGTCCAATCGTCCAGCTCCAATTTTCCAGCGATAGAACGCCTTGAGACAAGTCTCAGAATCACAACGGGGAACGTAAGAACAGCCAGCACGACTACGACCAACTTGATTTCGAGATCTCGGGATGCGTGGGGATACGGTCGGCAAAGGTCATCGGTCATGTACGACAACTCTGTAATTGTCTGTTAGCTATGCTTGCAACTCTCCAAGTCAAAACGCATACCCATTTGATCTCGCCATTCGCAGGAGGTCTGCACGCATCCAGAGAGGCCCTCCAACAGGGTCGTGTTGGTGCAAACGCACTGGGCGATGTTATCGAGTGGGCATCCTGACCCAAGAAAAGAATCGGTAACGCACGAAACCTGTCCAAGGATTAGATCTCGCTGATGCTCGCGGCTTCGCGACAGACAACTTACCGCGCATTGAGGGATCTGGCTGATGAGATCAAGCGGCGAAGTGGTAGTGTTACTGGCCTGACCTCGGACGGTCTCAGCTGCCCATGGCAGCAGGACAAGCGCCCACTGAAGGAGGCCTTTCATGTCAAGTAAAACGGAGATGCAAGAAGACCAGAGACCAGGAATTGTCTGCTTGAAGAATGAATATCTAGTCCAGCTATACGTTTCAGCGAGCACGGAGCATGATACCAGATGCGGCCATCTGCTGCGACCCTAGAAGAACCAAGACAGAGGATCCCAAGCAGCTGGATCGTGGGCTGCACATAAGTATCTTCAAAGGCACCGTCGCATTGCCGCGGGCAGGTCCGTATACACCGATGCAAGATTCGAGGAACGCCTCGTGGGTATCTCCAGCCGTTGAACTATGTCTATTTCTGGTCTGGCTCTCATGTGCGTGAGCCCTGAGAATCTGTCATCTGTCTCTTGGCATAAAACCTCGAAATACTACAATATGCATGCGGGCTGTCTGATATTGATTCGCCCCACGCAGAGTTTCTTGAAGTTGGGTTACAATATATCCTAAAGATGGTTTAACGCAGTGAGCCACTCGCCTCGATTCGGCATGAGCGATTGCGCCGGTGGGAAGGGTGAGGCCAGGACTGAATCATGACCCCTGGAGCCGGCTGAATGGTCCATTGGTTCGTCCGATGTCCGCTGGGTCGGGGTTTCACATTGACATGTCGGTTGGTGAGCCCGTGCAACCTCTCCGGCCATTTTGCTGGGTCCATGATGGAGTTGATGGGCGTTGAAAGAGGGATCACGTTGCTTGACCTAATATCGGGGAACTCAATTCTGTGGCGATTCCGCCATCGGTGTGCTATCAGCTCTCCACTTGGTACATGCACTTTCTTACCCTTTCATGCAGAATTGACAAGTACCCCGCCCGTTATCGCGAGCCCACGAACCACGTGTGATGTGCGTGCGATTCAAGGCCGCCCGCCCGCCCGCGCGGTTGTGCACGCCCGGACGTCTTACTGGACCGTGATGCTGGCCGATGAGGGCCGGCGAGGAGGAGACGGATGGATTTGCGCGGGTCTGAGGGGCTGGGGGAACAAGGGCATTTCGATATTGAGGATTGACATTGACGTAATCGATGTGCCTTATTCAATCATCTGATGCTGCATGAAATGTGACGAGTCAAAGATGGAAAAGATAGCGATGCCAAAGTCCGAAGCACGAGAGCCTCGCAGACAACGAGAACGACAGTTTGCGAGGCGCTAACGCCACAGCCGCGCTGTGTGACGAGGGCATTCCCTGACTCAAGCGCAGGAACCCAGCCGGCCCTGTGCCGCGCCAAGTCCCCAGTCTGGCCCTTCATGGCCCATCCCTCGGCCGGGCTCGCTCTGCCAGGCATGCCGAAGCTGTCTAAATAACCTTCTTGCCGGGTGCTCCGGTAGGGAACGGGATCACCCTTCCCATGTGTCTCGCGGTTGTGTGACGAAACCAACATTAGCGCACCCTCCAAGCCAAGGCAATGTTGTCCGATAGATTGCTTATCAGCAGTTTGAGCGGTAGCCGTAATCTGCCACAATTGTGGCTCATTAATCGTGATGATTGCCTCAGTGCAGTTATCCCAGGTTGAGCTTAGTTAGACTGAGTGACTGCCTTGGCAGGGCGACTCATGTTCATGCAGCCTTTCACGTGCACATTCGACTCGGCGCAATCAGCGCAAGCTCAATAATATATTGATTTGTGTTGCGCAATACCCCGCGTGCCGTGGGAATGCTGGTTTTCTCGGGGAAAAGGCAAGAACTCTAATCCGGCTACTTAATCACCAGCGCCCGTACCAGATGACGATCAGACATGGCTCATGCAGTGCATCCCATTATCTCATAAGCTAGACACCGCCGTTTTTCCGATTACTCACAGAAACTGAGTTACCGGCATCAGAGTTGCTGCCCTCAGATGAAGTGCGCACAGCCTTCTCTTGGACCGGAGCTTCGGTAACGGTGGTGTTGTTGATGATGCGCCCAGCCGCGTCGTGAGTAGCATCCCATTCGGCAACGTCGGCGTAGGGGACCTTCTGAAGCTGGTTACTCTGAGCACCGTCCTCAAAACTAATGAGTTCATGGCGCAACTTGTAGCCCTTCCATTTTGGGGTGAGGAATGCCCAAAACCAGTAGTAAGCTGCACAGGCGAGAAGACTGCAATCTCGTTAGCCGTTGCGAGTCAGATTATTGGGGAGAAAGACTGCTCACATTCCCACACCGGTCACCGCGTACGTCGCATACCAGAAGCTGACGTCACCAGCGTATTGTCCGCCTGCTGGCGGGTACCATGGCATGATCAGAAGGTAAAGCTGGATGCAGATGTTGAAGATGATCACCACGTGCCACGCTTTGAACTCGGGCCCGGGGAGGCTCAGCTTACTCCGCCGCCAGCGGACGACATAGATACCCACAGCCATTGCCAAGTTAAAGGCGGCCTGGGGAAAGACTCCGAGATCGTTGACTGTGGCATCGTTAGCGAGGCGGGTCCCACGCCGAGCTCGGGGCCATGTATGGGGCTCGTACCAAAAGTGAAAGCGTCTCCAGCCGGGACCGCAAGAATCATTAGTGCAGTCAGAAACCAAATCACGGCATAAGGTCCCAATGGCGTTCCAAAAGGCTTCGTAGATACCCAGAATCTTGTCCAAGGCAGTACGCCTTGGCGACCGCACTCTCTGATGCGGCGAGAAAGGCCAATAATAACCGCGATCATATTTCCGAAAGAGGCCAGTGCAATAAGAAAGTTCAGACCACGCACAGCCCCAGAGTTCCCGAAGACTGCCGTGAAGAACAGGCTTGCGACTGTCAAGCCGGAGTTCTCAAGATCTTCTCTTGGTACTAATCAGAAAGAATAAGTTAGCCTTTCTGTGGCGCTTGGCTGTTGTCCAACAACTTAGGTCATAGCTCACCAGCAGCGAAGAAAGCAACGTTGGCGAACATGTAAAGAACGTAGACCGTGGTCAAAGCTGTGGTAGCGTAGATCTTAAGAGATCTGACGGGATTCTGCGGGCGCACTCAAACAAGCATATCATCACTTGTGGGGGATCCTCGGCCCTTCGGCCACATACCTTCACTTCATTAGCAACATTGAATGCGTTGTTATAACCTTTTCATGCGTTAGTTGACTCGACTTCGTCTTCGAGTCTAGCTCGAAGATGTCATTTGAAATTACCTCCGTATGAGAAGATGATGCGGTAAAGTGCAGTAGTCATGCCGTAGGCAGTAGCCGAAGAGCTACCAGACCAGGCATCTTTGAAGTTTGCCGTGGGGTCTTGAACCTTTGTGTGTCCGCCTCGAACGACGAAACCAGTGATGATGACGAAAAGCAAAGTGCAAATCTTCACGATCCCCACGCCGTTGGAAAACCAATAAGCGTACTTGGTGTTGAACACAAGTGCTGAAGATGGTCAGCCTATTGAAACCAACGTAAAGATCAACTGCAACATACTCAGTGTGGCTAGGGTGTAGCAGGCTAAGGCGGTCCCCTTGATTTGCCAATCTGTGCCCTCATGGCCGGATATGGCAATCAGGTAGTTTGCCATGACTTTGCATCTGATCAGCGATTGAGTCGTGGTTCATCATGCGTATGCACCTACCCGTGGCGTTTGCACTTCCGAAGGATAGGATAACACTCTGAACTGCGAATGTGGTTGGGAAAAGCCACATGGGACGGGGGTAGGCTTGTTCGAGGAAGACGACTTCGGACCCGGATCGACTGGGGAAGTATGCGGTGACTCGAGGTAGACGGCTCCAGATGCCATGCATAGCTGATCGCGTGATTGGGTCAGCCATTGTTGCCATTCTAGCTGCCGCTGTCGGGTTGCGTGCATGGGAAGGCTTGGTGACTTACTAAGTAACCAAGAGTCCAATAGACAAAACTGACACCAACGGAACCAGTGCCCGCGAGAATCGAAGCAGCTTGGAAATGTCAGCATGCCCTGTGAACTGCGAAGTGCCCGGAGAGAAGACGCACGTGTTGAGTAGATACCAGCACCGATCATCATCGTGATGTTCAACAACGTGATCGTAACCGGCCCGACGGAATATCCCAGAGGTGAGTTGTTCTCAACGGGCGCGCCGGAGGCGTCTTGGTATGTCGGATGTGCATCATTACCGCCCTTTTCGCCGATGTACTGAACGCTTCCATTGGAGATCTGTTCGACCTGGCCCTCGGCAACGGTGCCAGACGTCGCGGCCCGGTCCCCAAAGGGCCTGCGCCAAGCCATTGAGACGCCAAGTACCAAGAGACGGGAGAGACGGAAGACTAGCGGGTAGGGCTGAAAGCAGTGTTTCAGGAGAAAAGAGCTTCGCCGTTGGATGGCAGTAGTGTCGGGAGGAGGGACAAGGTCACTGCACAGCGCCAGCGATCGAGAAGGAAGAAGAAACGCGATCGCCAGGAAACCTATATACCATGCAGAATTTTTTTACTCGTCCTCTTCCTTCTCGGAATGCCTCATCGGAATAGGCTTAGGGGATGCAACACACTTGGAAATCAAGACGGACAGTCTCCGCCAGTTTAGGATTCCACTTCCCATTGTCAGAGTCCATTGAGAAGCCTAGGAATGGCCGCTTCGTAAGCCATAACTAAATGTCAAATCACTATAGAGCTTTGACTTCCAAGTAAATGTTGGTTTGTGGAATTGCAATTCTACAGCTGTCAGTGGTCGGTGCTGGTTTACGGCCCGATGTTGATTTCAACATTGGAGGGGTGGATGATACAATCGGCACCGAGGTAGGGGGACGACTGGGTTACTAGACAGGGTTTGTCAATGACAACAGATTTCACTGTCATGGCGAATATCCGCTTCCGTCTTCCGCGATTCTGCATTATATTCCGAAGGCCTTTACTGGCACTTTCGGATGCATTTGCGCAGACACTGGATGAGTTTATTGCTGATAATAAACGTCATGTATCCCATTCATAGACACGCTTCAGGCAGTTTATCTACAAGTAAAATGATAGCAGAGAGCAGGAAAGACCAAAGATTCTCTAACGCATCACATGTTGCGCCTTTCGACCAGTTCAGTTTCTCAGAGAGAAACCGGGAGCTGTTTCTTTCTGCAAGCCAAAAGAGCAATCGAGGTCATTAACGACCAGCGGGAAGTGGACTCGGTCGGCCGAGGAGGGTGGGATTTCGGCAATTTAGTACGTAAAGGCAGCCTTGAGCGAATGACGCGATCTACAGGAGACCCCATTACGGGAACTAGGATTGGGGCCACGGTTGCGTGCTTGGGGCTGGCCGTCCAACCCCGGCCAAAGGGCGGGGATATTCCGGCAAGATTCATCTTAGGAACATTGGCTTCACCAGACGACGGAACTTTTTCCAACCAGCATACAAACATTAGTAATGGGTGGTGAGATAACGCTGTCTCCGATTTCCAATTTCGCCACTGAGAAAGCCTGTAGTCAACATCCAGTACAACAGTCAAGTCATATCAAAGCTGAAAACCGTTAGATCCTCAACTTGAGTATCTTTGTGATACTTCGTAATTGTACACTACTAGCGGTGGGTGATACGGGTTCACGATACCTACACGCGGGCCGATCATTTGTATGTATTCGCTTATTAATACTGAAGAGATCACGAATACATAACTAATAGTATAATACCAGAAGAAAGGTCAAACACAGGATAGAGCCTCTTCCGGACATCTTAGGGCCAGACCAGTAAGGTCACCAAGTGTTCAATACACAGATCCTATCAAGAATTCATGTTATAAGAGCATGCAGTTGAAAATCTTCAGTAGGCGTATTTAGGGTGCGACAATGATATGAAAATAAAACAAAACCGTCACCTAAGCCTAGTTTCGTTAGATTGAACAACCATATTCTGCCATTCAACAAGTCCGTTGAGATTATTGACCTAATGCTTTTGCCCCTTTTCCTTCATACTCTTGCGATTCATGAGACAGAGTGTGAGCCGTGCTAAGACGGCGGCACTAATGACTGAAAACGTAGCATAGGTAAAAGACGCGACCACATCGCCCGTCTCTGTAGTTTAGTACAAACGTCTCAGGCTCGCGGGTTTTCAGCAGTCCCTACATACCTACTTAGTTCAGATCACTTGCTACAAAACTCCCGGCCATCATATGAACACTATAAGCCCCGAACTTGGTGCCTTTGGCTCGGCAATAGTCTCGAGAAAGGATACTTCAAGCCAGTCATCGTCCCAGGCATTTCACTTCGCCAGGTATCAGCTGATGAAGGCCAATTACCCTGCTGCTGTTTAACAAGACACGTGATGTTGCAATTTTAAAGCGGAAAAGGGCCTATTTAGCCATAGCACTTGTGCGCAAGCGACGTGTTACGTTTGATCATTTCCTACAGTATTCTCCGAGATATACCCTGGCCCTTCTTGATCAATTATAGCTCTGTATGAATCCGTTCAAAGTTCTTGAATGGCGTCTAAATCAGTTGTCACGCGGGGAATGCTACAAACGCGTGAACAGGTCCTGCACAGCTTCAAGGAGAGAGTACATGTACATCAGATACTTATCAGCGGGCTCAGGAAACACAATTCATCTTCTACAGTCAAGCACACATCAAGTCTACATACAGACCACTCCATATTTCAACTGCATTAAAAAAGAATGAGAGACCTACAGACTCATCAAGGAATTTGCTCCTCCGAAACGGAGATTTTCTTCAAAACCTTGCAACATCAAGTGAACCTGAAGGATCACCCGGACGATCGCTTGCGATGTACAACCTTGTTAGCGAGGTCCAAAAAGTTGAGTTTGCTGAACAGAGGAAGCAACACATGTATGATGTGTTACGGTCAGCTATCCGACAGTAGGGTCTGCTAACAGAAGCTGGGGATTGATACGTTCTAACAGTACACTGGGTCGTGGTCGTAGGTCGTAGTTCGTAGGCTGTAGTAGATCGGGTCTTCAGAGGCCAAGGTGATCAGTCTTAGACTTAACAGGTGATTCGCAGTGAAGGTAAGCTGAGAGTATCCGTGAGGATGAATACTAAGTTGATTGCTGAAGAGCTATAGAAGTCTGACCATAAGCTAGGCTTAGGGTCATACTATATATAAGTTCTGAACAGTGTTCTTCGTTTATCCCAGAGTGATCACCTAAGTGCGTAAGGTGATCGCAATCAGTTGGCAAGACTAACTGATCACTAAGCGTTCCTTCCTATACTCCACTAATCGTTTTCTTATCTTATCGTCATATGACTTATATTATAGTTCTTCTGTTCCAAGTGAGTCCCTGTTATTCCTATGATCTTACGGTATAAATATCCTGTTCTAGCCGCCTGATGCCTGAGTGGGTCGTTCAGCTGTTATCCTTGTTTACAGGTCGTAACATGATGGTCACAGCTCTTGGAGCAGGTTCGATATAGTGGACAGAATACAATAACCTATCTCGTAAGATCTAGATGTAACACTTGACGAGAAGAAGAGATTTGAGGTGTGTACGCGGGGCGTTGCCGCAAGAAAAGGGGCCATGGTAAAGACATGACTCGCGATACCACCACCACCCTAGCATGCAATCCCATGATGTTTATGCTTTAGCAGGATCATTCTCAGTCAACAATACTTTATTAAACATCATACTAAGCTTAGTGTTAGCACAAACGCTCATCTTTTCAACCAACAAAACTTAAAGGAGCGCTTTATTACAACCTATAAGCAAGGATAACAGCTAAACAACCTACTCAGGCGTTAGGTAGCTAAAATAAAGTATTTATACTATAAGATTATAAGAATATCAAGAACGCACTTAGTATAGAAGAACTATAATATAAATTATATAATAATAAGATAAAAGATTAAATCTATGTACTAAAAATATAGAAGCTATATTTAGTAAGAATAGATTTTATTAAGATTAAGAATAAAAATAAAAATAAAAAGTATTATTTAGAAATTATATAAAATATAACCTTAAACCTAGTTTATAATTAGATTTCTATAGCTTTTTAGTAATTAATTTAATATTTATCCTTATAAATATTCTTAGCTTATTTTCACTATATATTACTTATTAAGTTTAAAACTAGTTATTTTAGCCTCTAAAATCTTAATTTACCATAGCTCATAACTTATAGCTTATAACTTATAACTATAACTATAACTCTAACTCTATATATTATTATATTATATTAATCTCTCGCTTTTATTAATAAGCTTTGTTATTAAATAGCTAATTATAATATTTTAATTACTTTGATTTTAACAAGTTAATTATTAATACCTATTGATAATAAAAAATAAAAATATATCTTTTTATGCTTTAGCTAAATCCTTTACCCTAAAGTCTTTATTTTCTTTACATAACTAGCCTTAAAGCTTAATATGGAAACTTATTCATATTAAAGATTATAATATATTAAACCTTAAGTATAACTCTAATAGAGAAATCTTTTTCACTAAAAAAGATATAAAAAGCTCTAATATTGTATCTAGAAATAGGAAGCTAAATCTAAAAATATACAAATATTTATTAATAAAAATAAGTAAATAGTACAAAACCTTAATAGATAACTCTAAAATACTATAATAGCTTTTAAAAAGCTAGAAAAAGATATTAAAAAAGATATTAACTTTAAGAGAGTTAAAAAAACTCTAAAAATAACGTAATATTTTTAAAACTACTACTAATATTATTACTACCCCTATTAGAAAATAATAGAAACTTAAGTTTAACGCTCTTATTGTTTATAATAACACTTTTAGATAACTTAAGAGTTATTTAATTTAAATTAAAAATTACTAAAACTTATATTATACAAACTTTATTAACTGAACTAAAAAAGTAATTTATACTACTACTTACTTTTAAAAATAAATTTTTAAGTAATTTAAATTTATTTAAAAACATTCCTTAAGTATAAAACTGTAAATAAATACTCTACTAAGATTTATAATATCTATAGTAGTTTTTAGAGATTTAAAGATATTTTCTACTCTTTCTTTTAAAACCTTAATAAGAAATAATAAGCTAAATATAAACCAATGTAACTTAAATAAACTAAATCTATTAAAATCTTTATTATCAATTTTAAATAACTTAGTATTTAATTTAACCTTATTGAAGAAACTAAGATCTTTATATTCTATTAAGAATTTACAAATCATATTAAGGATAAAATTATTAAAATTAACTAACCTAATAGTTTCCTTTAGTATATAGATCTCACTATTCGGATTAATAATTAACTATTTAAATAATATAAAAGAAAAAGCAAAAAATACTATTAAACTAACTTAAAATATAA